GCAATTATTATAAACACTTGCAAGAAAACAATGCATACTGCTGAATTTTATTTAAGTCGATTTTTGGGAAACTTATTTGTACTCATCTTAAGCTGTATGAATAAAAAGAAACTCACTACATGGTCCTGTCTTTCAACTAACCTACATTATTATCAGATCCTTGGAAATGTGTACATTAGTAAGACAGTTCTTAATAGCTGATTTACAAGTATATCAGCAGAACATATCCAGTAGTAAATTGTGGCAAAATCTGAAAGTCTATGCTGTCACCAAATAATCTTATCACATTACAGATTTGTCTATCTTGCAACTACTTTTCTTACAGGATAAAGGAATCCAGTGGTTGTTGAGTTGTCATAGCCTGTTTTACACAAGAAATCTATATACTTCTAGCTAGACTTGAAAATAATAAATAATAAGAATCTCTCTGCAAGTAAACCACTTCTGTTAGCTATATAATCTTAATAAGTCACTTCCTAGCTTAGTCTTTGTGTAGTAACTGGCTTTTTTCCAGATGTATCAAAACAGACTTGAAAATGCCTTTGTAAAAATATTACAGTTCAGTCTTGCAGAACTCAGTACTGTATATAAAAGATGGGACCTTTTTAGGTAGCAAATAGTCACTTCACAAGGTACATATACCTATTATTTCTCGGTACTGATATGTACACTTATTCCTATTAACAAAGACTTCTGGTTTGGTAAAATCAAAATAAACAGTGTGAAGCTTATTTCTATCTGCTGCATACATGGAAACGTACATGAATAAACATGGATCTCCAGTGATAAACTAGAACTGTTCTGAGCAGTGTGTATTTCATTAAAATACAAGAATTCAAAGCTAATTAATACTGAAAGGCCACAATGCAGGTAACTCAACATGCATCTTGGTCATAGTTATATTATTTACCACTAAACCGAAGGTATCAAATACAGTATCTGGGATCACCCGGCGCAGCTCAGCTCCCAGTAGCAGCAGCGGTGGCGGCGGGGGACCTCCAGATGCCTTCCCCGCTGACGTAGGCTTTCCCAGGGTGGACCGGGCCTACCAGGAGAGGGCTTCCCCCGGTAGGCCCGGTCTACCAGGCTTTCCCAGGCAGTAGACCAGGCCTACTGGGGGAAGCCATTCCCTGGCAGACCAGGTCTACTAGGCTTTCCCAGGCAGTAGACCGGGCCTACTGGGGGAAGCCATCCCCTGGTAGGCACGGTCCACTCTGGGAAAGCCTGCATCGGAAGGGGTGGGGGGGCTCCGAGAGGCCTCCAGCAGCAGCTCCGAAGCCCTCAGAGTCCTCCGGCAGCGGCGATGACGGCGGCAGGGGACCCTGGAAGGCTTCAAAAAGGTTATTTTTTTTACATTTATTTTAATTTTGTTTGATTCTCCCATTCATATATTGAAGAACTACTGTTACTTGCCTATAATCTATATCATCACTTGTTCATGGGAGATGTATAAATAAAAAGGACATATATTTCAATCAATCTTTATTTTGCCGTCTCCGACTCATTAAGGACACATATTTGCATTCTAGTGTCTGAGAAAGTGGATTTTGATCCACAAAAGCTCACATTGAAATAAAACTCTTAGTCTTTAATATGCTACAATTTTTTTTCTTTTACCAACATCCTTAGTCTAACATGGCTAGTTGCAATTTTTAAATCTTTGTTAATTCTTTTATTGAACAAGACCGATGTAGCCACAAATCAAACAATTTGTTACGGGCAAACTCGACTCTGGTTTACCAGCCAACCATGTATCAATCTGAACCTATGTTTTGTTACTCCTTTGTGAACTCTGGCTTGTTTAAATCCTCCTTTCTTATAATATCCTAACCTGCAATGGTGGCCTCTCCCTGGCTTGTTTCCCTAACGCCTGATCTTGAAATAATAGCTAACAAGAAGAGAAATGAACCAGAAATGGAGAAGACAAGGCATGCTTTGAATGAGTGCCTGCTGTACAATTTCTCCTTAAACAACAAACCACAGCTCATAATGACTCATAAATATGCCTAATGTAAAGTACTGGGATAAAGCCCTGACCAAGTGAGTCCTTATAATATTGCAATTCAATCAGGAAAAATTAAAAAGACATTTACTGAATACCAACACTAAGGCATTTAGACATCCTCTATAATTAGAAACCCACTGTTGTTGCAAAGTAAAATCAAATGTCCCAATGTAATCTTAAAATATTTGTTCCAAACTAGGTTTCCGCCAACATTCTTTCAAGAACAAAATTCTGTCCAAGACACTACCACAGCTCTGTGGAAAGCAGCAATAACTTTAAACTGAATTGCAGCTCTATAAATTATAATAATAAATATCGTCATTCAGTCGTGTCTGACTCTTCGTGACCCCATGGACCAGAGCATGCCAGGCCCTCCTATCTTCCACTGCCTCCCAGAGTTATGTCAAATTCATGCTGGTAGCTTCGATGACACTGTCCAACCATCTCATCCTGTCGTGTACTTCTCCTCTTTCCTTCACACTTTCCTAACATCAGGGTCTTTTACAGGGAGTCTTCTCTTCTCATGAGATGGCCAAAGTATTGGAGCCTCAGCTTCAGCATCTGTCCTTCCAGTGAGCTCTCAGTGAATTCCTTTAGAATTGATAGGTTTGTTCTCCTTGCAGTCCAGGGTACTCTAAAGAACCTCCTCCAGCACCACAATTCAAAAGAATCAATTCTTCGGCAGTCAGCTTTCTTTATGATCCAGCTCTCACTTCCATACATCACTACAGGAAAAACCATAGTTTTGACTATTCACTTTTGTTGGCAAGGTGATGTCTCTGCTTTTCAAGATTCTGTCAAAGTTTGTCATTGCTTTCCTCCCAAGAAGCAGGCATCTTTTAATTTTGTGGCTGCTGTCTCCATCTGCAGTGATTATGGAGCCCAAGAAAGTAAAATCTGTCACTGCCTCCATATCTTCCCTTTCTATTTCCCAGGAGGAGAAGATTTTAAATAAATATAACTACGGCTAATTAGTAGTGGAGAGCTGAATAGCTCAGTGAGTTAGATATCAAGCTGTGGAGCCAGAGGTTGGGAATTCAATTCCCCATTATGTGTTCTGAGAGAAGAGCCAGCCTATGTGGCCTTGGACAAGCTGCACAATCCCAGCACACCCCCAGAAAAAAAGGAACAGCAAACCAATCCCATGTAATCTCTGCCTAGGAAAGGACTGGCAAAATTCAGAACTGGGTTTGATTCCCCACTCAACCATGGAAACTGACTAGGGGAGTGGAACTGGTAAAACCTTCCTTAAATACTTTACTTACCTGTGCTACTCCATTCAGAATATGTTAGTGCCACTTTATATAAATCAGCACATGCCAAACAAGTGGATGTAGCTCTTAATGAATCATGAAGGACTATTACTGGCTACCTGAAATCTACTCCCACTGAAAAAGTCTATTATTTGGTTGGTACTGCCCCTCCAGAAATATGTTGAAAGGTGCTAGCAAATAATGAACGAAATAAGGCAATACAGCACCAAACCAATCTACTTCATGGAGACCAATTCTCAAGACAATGGCTAAAATCTAGGAAAAATTTTCTCTACACATCTCCAACCAGAAGGAGCTAGGCTAAACCTATTGAAAACAAGAAAAACATATCTTGCCAAACAGATGAATGCTTAAAGAGTGTCTCCCACCAATACAAGATTATTTTGGACTATCTATAAATCACTTAATACACTTCAAAGTGAAGTAGGAAAATCAAAAACTAATCAAGTAAAATGGCTCTACTTGGATACACATTTTCTGTGACTGTGGAGAAATTCAATCAATGTTGCATTTATATGCATGCAATTTATGCTCCACCATGTATAAAAAAAGATTTCGCAAATGGCTAACACAATTGAAGTAGCCCACTTCAGGTCAAAAATAGTCTAATTATATTAACATTTTAATTTTTAAATTTTACTATATTTTATATAATCACCATCATCATGTGCCATCAAGTCAATTCTTACTTATGGCAACTCGTTTCAGGGTTTTCCAGGTAGAAAATATTCAGGTGTGTTCTACCATTCCCCTCTTCTGGAGGCAGCACTAGGACTGTGCAACTGTCCCAAGGCCACATAGGTTGGCTCTACTCACAGGAGGCACAGTGGGGAATTGAACCACCAACCTCTGGCTCCACAGCCAGATACCTAAAGCATAGAGCTACCCAGCCATGTTTCATACACATCCATAATATGTCCATAATTTTAAATTGTGCAATTCTCTGAAACAATAAAAAAAGATAAGTTGGACTGATTGCAACACAACATATTACCAAGGGACAACCTACACAACTGGATTTTCCAGCATATTTTAATGAAGCACGGTTGTAGGAATTGCCAATCTGATTCCATAGTAGTGCCAGAGGAGAATACATTTAAATCATACCCTTATCCTTGCCCAACTCAAAATTACATCTATCCCAATCTGCTGCAGGCCTTATGTGGAGAGAGATGAAAAGCACAGAGACATAGTAAATTTTTAAAAAGCAAAACAATTATTTTGTTATGAGCTTCATACTTCATTAAAGTATTCATTTGCATCAATATCAAACTAAAAACTGATACACAAAGCCATTTAGCATTTCTGAAATTCAGCAATAGTTAAATCCAATTAGCTCAAAATAAGCTGAGATAGTGTGAAGAGGGTCATTCCCAATGTATGAAGTATGAATAATTCCCTATGAATATTTCTAATAAACACAGTCCATCTAGATATTGCAATTTTCAAGTATTTATCAACTGTTTTTATATGAACTCAAAGGAACATCTATGTTATCAGAATGATTTTGGTTTGCAGTAAAGCATCACAACCTATGAAATCATACAGTGAAACTGCTGCATAGAGGTTTAACAGCCTAAAGTTCATCGAATACTTTGCATAATGTGTTCAAAACAAATAAAAAAGCATATATGTATACTGATCAACAAATGCATGATAAAAAAGAACAGTCATCATGTCCCACTCAAGTCCCAAATGCATTATTTTGCCAAGATATTTACCTTCATTTTTCCATCGAAACCACACTTGGGTTGATGGCTACAAAGACTTTTGTGGCACCAACAGCAGCCCTGGGAGTTGGGACTGAGAAGTAAAGTGCTGAGAAATCCCTATATTCCAGGCAGGTGCTTTGTTCTCAAAGCCCACAAACACAGCAACATCGGTGAAAAAAGGAAAATGGTGTAGCGCTAGCAAGAAAAAGTAAAGAAAAAGAAATAGAATACACATAAAACGCCACCACTTCGGGCCCTTTCTGTCACTTCAGCAGAGAAGCATCTACAGATGTAGCTGTCTGGAAAAGATCCTCCCCACCTCGTGCCCCCAATCCAAGGGAAAGTGATTTGTAACCCAGCAGCTAGCTCCATATACAGAACTGGAGGCAGTAAAGGAAAGAGAAATTTAACCAAAAATGAAAGAAAGAATCACCAGCAGGGGAGCTTTGCTTGCTTAAACGCCAGGCATTTCCCAGGAGCGCGACGACCCGCCACAGCCCTCTTCCTCGCCAGAACGCTCCCGATTAATTACTACCTTTGCTTGACACCTGTCAGCATTTCCCTCAAAATAACCCTCAGCGCCTGCCACTTTTCCTCCCCTCCCACATCCCTTGCCTGTTGCTAGGGTACATCCCAGATACAGACCTTTGGGGGGAAGCAGAAAAATACACCTGAAACACTGGGGTAGATAAGGAAGGGGGGCGGAAAGGCATTGTGTTGGAGGAACTCCTTCGTTGAAGGAGAAGAAATTCTTTTAAATATTTTTTAAGGGGCACTGGAGGAAGAAAACAGGGGGCGCCTTGTTAGGGTCCCCCCTCGGACTCTTACCTGACTCTCCTCCCCGCGCCTCAAGAGACCCCCTTTCCCCTCAGGAGCACGTCCCTCGCCTCGTAATCCTCTCTCCTCCCCGCCACACGCACCCGGGCGCCGCCGCCGCCGTCTTCTTACCGAGCGAGGCGCCCCTCACGGCCCTTCCCGAAAGCGGCCCCTCCTCTTCTGCCCCACGGAGCCTCCTCTCAGCTCTCACTTTCCCGGCTCGAGGTCCTCGCCCGAGCTGCAAAAGCGGAGTCGGCCCAGGCGCATCCTCTCTTTGGCTCCGTGCCGTGCCAGGCTCGCTTTCTCGCAGGCAGACGCAGACACACACACTTCCCTCTCTCTTACACACACACAAAACACCCAAATTCACTTCCGCTGCCAAGAGCGGGCACCCAGCGGAAGGACCTAGAAAGGGAGGGAGGGAAGCGAAGAGCGACACACACCAGAGCGAGCGCCATACCACGCATGCGCCCCTGGAGGGACCAGCCAGGCGCAAAGGCGGCCTGGGGGGGGGGGCGGAGGGTGTTTCGTTCCGTGGCTACCCTTGAGCGGCGCTCCCTTGTCTTATGTTTTCTCGCCGGGGTCGAGAATTCTGCTGGAAGGGAATAATGGGGGCAGCGGGGGGGGCAAGAGGAGAGTGGGCAGGCAGGAAAGGTGTTGTGGGAGGCGGGGGAGGCCTTCGTCCGTCCAGGATTAGTTCCTCTCAACGCAACAAAAACCTCGGCGCCCTATTATGGTGCCCTTTTGTGAGGGCTCAAGCCCTGCGTTCATCCCAGTCAGTGGGGCTTCGTTTTGAAATAGCTCTGCTGCATAATATGGGGCTGGGCGGGGGGGGCGTGAAGCGTAGCGCACATCCTGTTGATTTTAGAAATAGCCGCGACGCTTTTGCAGTCCCCGAACTGAAAGCTAAACTGAGGTGAATTCAAAGCCGCTGCAAGTTGCGAGGAAGCGGCTTGCTTTCGCGGAAGCTCCTCGCCCGTGTTCGAGGCGGCGTCGGCGCCCCGCCTGAGGACGCGGCGGATCCTCCTTTTAAGGGTGTCGGAATGCAGCAGCAGCCACCCGTGGGGTGAGGGGTGAAGCCATCCGAAGCTGCGGGTGCCCGAGAAAAACCTGTCATGCCACCCAATAGTCCTTTCCCACGACGCCTCACTTTGATGCCTGTCAGTCGGACTCAAAAGGTGCTTCTTAGTGAGTCCAGTGTTAAGGGTACTGGCTCCCGCCGTGGCCGCCCAGAACCATCCCAGAGGTTTTCAATCGTACCTTCCACGTAGTGTGAATTTCCTACATGTACCCTTTAGGATCTTACCATGGACCAGCTTTGCCCCAACAGCTGAAGTTTATCGTCTTCCAAAGTTCACCTAGCTGCTAACAGAACTTGGTGGCATGTTCCAGTAGGTTTCTCAGCATATAGAGTTGTAGGATTCCTTGTTTAGGTTTGAGAGGTAGATTAGTGTGGCCTGGAAATACCTTTTGGACGAAAATGTGTTAGTGAACTGCTTTCTCTGGTATCAGTGTCCCCTTTGATCTCTATTAGCAATGTCTGAGGAAGTCATGTTTAACAAATATGCAAGTTTGCCTAGTATAAACATAAGATTACAATTCTTTTTTAAAGAGAAAATGTCTTTAGATGGGAACATGATGTTAACTCTTAATACTGTATTGTGGAGAAAGCAGTGAAATTGTAATACTTGAGTGACATGGTAGATTAAAAGAATAATTTTGTTTTAGTGCTCTTGCTTCCCCCCCCCCCCAATTTTGGAGGATGTAGTCATTTGATTGATACCCAGTGTGGTGTAGCAAATAGAATGATAGACTAAGACCAGGACTCAGAAATCCTAGGTTAGAATCCCTGTTCAGTCGTAGAAGTTCACTGGGGGTGAGCATCTATGTCACTGTAAAATCACACCTTAAACATCTCACCATGAAGCCCTACTAGGGTCACTATAGGTGGGTTCGGACTTGACAGCACATAACACAAGCCATTTGTTTAGCCCTGTGTTATTTTTTTACAACACTCCTAGCCAAGCCCATTATTAATTCTCTAGTGATTCTCTGCGTAACATGTGTGAGATTATTTATTATTTATTTGTTACTGTTTAGTCATTAAGTTCTGTCCACCTCTTTGTGACCCCATGGACCAGAGCACACCAGGTCCCTCCTGTCTTCCACTGCCTCCCGGAGTTTGGCCAAATTCATACTGGTAGCTTTGATGATACTGTCCAACCATCTCATCCCTTGTCGTCCCCTTCTCCTCTTGCCTTCACTCTTTCCCAATATCAGGGTCTTTTCCAGGCAGTCTTCTCTTCTCATGAGATGACCAAAGTATTGGAGCCTCATCTTTAAGATCTGTCCTTCCAGTGAGCACTCAGGGTTGATTTCCTTCAAATTGGATAGGTTTGTTCTCTTTGCAGTCTCAAGAGTCTCCTTCAGCACCACAATTCAAAAGCATCAATTCTTCGGTGGTCAGTCTTCTTTATGGTCCAGCACGCTTCTTTACCAGACTTTAAAGCATGGAGCAAGAGGAAGGCTTGTCTCTGGCCTCACAGAGCTAAAGTGTAAGCCAAGGATTAAGGCTATACTGTGGTGCACATCAGGTAAACCCCATATAAGGAAGCTGCATTTAACTCAGTGGGATTCACATCTGAAAAGAACTTGGATAAAATTGCTCTGATGGAGCAGAGTGCCAATGACCACAACCTATCAAGACCAGCCAAAACATTTGCTCAGGGCATAAGCCATAGAACTATGCACGTCCCCCCCCCCTTGTCTCCAGCTTAAATTACTCCCACTTGATGGAGACATGGGTAAGGAGGTGACCACATTGATAAAACCTCCAGGAAATACAGTGGGAGAGACTGATTTGCATTTTTTTTCATTGACCAATCATACAAAATGAAATGCAAATAAACTCAGAGTTCCCCCCTCCAATCTGTAGTTTCCCCCCCTCTGCTGCTGGGGCTTCTACTTTTAAAAAAATTATCCATTTGCATCCATTCAGAGGTATGATCACTTGAATTGATAAAGGGGAGGATAAGATGCTCACACACTCACACACAAAGCTCTGCTTTGCTGCTTCAAGCACTATCCCCTTTGCCTCTTGCCTCATGGGGGGGAAACTTCTGGGAGTTCTCGGTCCACATACTGCTGAAGCCTACCTTGGAGGATTTTGAGCATAACCTTGCCAGCGTGTGAAATGAGTCCAACTGTATAATAGTTGGAGCATTCTTTGGCACTGCCCTTCTTTGGGATTGGGATGTAGACTGATCTTTTCCAATCCTCTGGCCACCGCTGAGTTTTCCAAACTTGCTGGCATATTGAATATAGCACCTTAACAGTGTCCTTTCAAGGTTTTATATAGTTCCACTGGAATGCCATCACCTCCATTGGCCTTCTTGTTAGCCATGCTTTCTAAGGCCCACTTGACTTCACTCTCCAGGATGTCTGGCTAAAGCTCAGCAACCGCACTATCTGAGTTGTCCAGGACATCCAGATCTTTCTGGCATAATTCCTCCGTTTATTCTTGCCACCTCTTCTTCATGTCTTCTGCTTCAGTTAGATCCTTTCCATTTTTGTCCTTTATCATGTCCATCTTTGCACAAAATGTTCCTTTAATATCTCCAATTTTCTTGACCAGATCTCTGGTTTTTCCCTTTCTATTATTTTCCTCTATTTCTTTGCACTGTTCATTTAAGAAGACCCTCTTGTCTCTCTACTCAGCAGCCATTCACTCAGGGAAAGTTATTTGCTTGTTTATTGATTTATTTATTTAAAGTATTTTAACCTGTCTTTCTCCTTTAAAAGAATCAAAAGTGGCTTACAGCAATTTAAAGACTGCATTTAAGATTAATGAAAATGAGTATACAATGTTAAAAGAATCAATGAATACAATGTATTCTCAAAGGCTTTCATGGCAGGGATCTGATGCTTGTGGGTTTTTTCGGGCCCTTTGGCCATGTTCTGAAGGTTGTTCTCCCTAACGTTTCACCAGTCTCTGTGGCCATGGGCATCTTCAGAGGACAGCAACCTCAGGAGTCAGAACTCTGTCTATGCTCTGGAGTTCTGACTCCTGTCCTCTGAAGATGCTGGCCACAGAGACTGGTGAAACATTAGGAAGAACAACCTTCAGTACCTGGCTAAAGAGCCCGAAAAACCAACAGCAACCATCCATGAATACAATACCAAAAAACCAACACCAAAACACATTCAATAAAGTAAGGCACAACAATCCATTTTAAAAACTACTCAGCAGCCATTCACTCAGGGAAAGCTTGCCTGAAGAGAAAGGTATTTGTTTGCAGAAAGACAGTAAAGATGGGGCCAGCCTGACCTCCAGCAGGAAGGAGTTCTAGAGCGTGGGAGCAACAACAGAGAAGGCTCTCTCCTCTGTCTCCAACAAATGTGGGGCCAAGAAGAAGGCCTCTCTCCTGATGATCCTGTCACTTGAGCAGGCTCATAAAGGGAGGTGTGGTCCTTGAGATACGTTGGGCTGAAGGTGTTTGGGGCTTTATAGGTTTATGAAGCCCTACAAAACTGCATACATTTTTTTGCTGTAGTTTTGAATGCTGTGCCACAATGAGTATGACTGATTGCAGCTATCAGGAATGTTTGTCTCTTTGCTGCTGCTGATTAATAGCTCTTTTACACATTTCTTTCTTTCTTTTTATTCTCACAATTTTTCACATTGGGAAATGTAGAAGGATAAATATATATGCATATTCAGTTTTCAACATGAGTTCTAATGTACAAATCAAACCTAATGAAGCAGCTACTTTCAAATTTGCCCTGCCAAGCAGAGGTATAAAGGCTCAACACCACCTAATTCCCCAACCATGGTGCACACTGCGCTGTTTAACAGTTATAAATTTGTCTTTTAAAAGTCCCTTTTTATGGACAAAACTTTAAAATGCAAGAGACAGTGTGAACAGAATATAACTAAAAATATTATCAGGTCAGAGCTGAATCATCAAAGCTGAATCAGGGCTGCCGACATTTAAGAAGAAAACCGGCTGAAAAGGATATCTATAGGCAGATGTCAGCCTAACCTAAAAAGTATTGTAAGGTCTGTCAGCAAACCTGTTCATGTGTCTCTAGACTAATCTACACAACTCTGCTCTGCTTATGAGCTGCCTAGGTCTTAACAAAGTGAAAGATGGTTGACTGATTCAGCTCATGGTGTCCAATTACTAGGGCATACATCTAATGCCCTAGAATCAGTTCTTATGCTGGAATAATAATAGTTAAAGGAGAAGGGAATGAAAAGTTATTGTTGTTATCAATATAGTGTCCAAAACTTCACTTACTTGTTACAAGCATTACAGCAACCTTAAAAGATATGACAGGTTGTAGGTGGGGGGCTGAGGCTGAGAATGGCTTGCCAGAATTGGAGTTCAGCTTAGTCACTGTGTTTCACTTTGCATACTAATGACACAGTGAATTTAAACTGGACACAACCAGCAATAATGAAA